TACAGTCGTGGAATTGTTGGGATTGGAAAACACCTCAAAGACATCAAATCCAACCATTCCCAGCCCTGCCCAGGCCACCACTGCCCGTCCCCAAGTGCTGCATCCTCAGGGATTTAAACCCCTCCGGGATGGGCGCTCCCAACACCCCTGGGCAGCTGTGCCAGGGCTGGGAAACCCTTTCCATGAAGAAATTTTTCCAGCGTCCAAGCTGAGCCTCCCCTGGTGACACTTGAGGCCATTTCTTCTGATCCTGGAGATTTTTACATGGAAAATGGGAGCCCGACCCCGCCCCGGCTGTCCCCTCCTGCCAGGGACTTGTGCAGAGCCACAAGGGCCCCCTGAGCCTCCTTTGCTCCAGGCTCAGCCTCTTCCCAGCTCCCTCAGCAATGCTCCAGCCCCTTCCCAGCTCCCTCAGCAATTCTCCAGCCCCTTCCCAGCTCCCTCAGCCGCTCCTGAGACAAGACACCCACATTCCAACATGGAAAATCCTGCTGCAAAGGGAAAGAGGACAATTCCTCATTCCATGCCAGGGTGAGATTCCCTGTCAGCCCTGCGGGGAGCCACAAACCAGCCAGGATAACGGGATTGGTAGCTCAAGGTTTAGACTTAATGAAGAAGAGGACTGGGGGATCTCTTGGGATCATTTCCAGCTTTATTTTCTGTTGCTCCTTTTTTACCAAAGAATTATCCTGGAAAAGCTGTGGCTGCCCCTGGATCCCTGGAAGTGCCCAAGGCCAGGTTGGATAGGATTGGAGCAGCCTGGGACAGTGGGAGGTGTCCCTGCCATGGCAGGGGTGCGAATGGGTGGGATTTAACATCTCCTACATCCCAAACCATTCTGGAATTCCATAAAATCATCCACCTGCAGTGCTCAGCTCGGAGCATCCTCAGGATTTCCTTTCATGCAGATCCCAGTCACCTCCCCCCAGGAATGGCAGGAATCGTGAAGAGAAATATTTTTTTCCCCCTTCCATAATTCCCTTTGCAGTGCATTGTCTGACTGGTGGGAAACAAAGCAAGTTTATCATGACAGACTTCAGCTTAATCGAGGGATTAAAAGTGAATTAAGCCTCTCTTAATTTGTCTCCCACCACATGCCCCAGACAGTGCAGCAGCTTCAGCTGTGATTTCAATGAGCTGTGGCAGGCAGCTGAAAAATCATGGCTTGAAAGACTCGTCTTGCTCGGGAAAAGTTCCTGGGCTGGTTTATTTTATCCTGGAAGCTGCCAAAACTCAGCCTTAATTTATGGATTAATGATCACCTGCTCTAAACCGGCTGCTAACAGACAAAGTAATATCATTTCCAAATGAATCAGTGCCACCCAAGCTGCTTTGTGGAGCGAGATAAAAGCCTGATTTGCTTCTCCTCAATCATATTACAAGAACTATTCTGAGGAGCCCAGAATTCCCGTGGTTTTCTGGGTAAATATCCTGCTTTTTCTCTGGCATTTTGAAACAATGAACTCCCTTGAAAGGCTCCATTCAGGTTATTCTCAGCTCGGAGTGTTCCATGTGCCATTCAGCAGGAGCTGGGGCTAAAATTCCCTTTTTTTAGTGCCTCCTCTGGAAACTGGTGACACCATCAGCTGTCAATAATTCCTCTTGGACACTCAGCAGAGTTGGGCTTGGAGCAGCGGATCCAGGGATTTCTACACGAGGAGGGATTTGTTGCTGCTCAGAGAAACCTGAGCAAAGCACGGTGCAGGTAAAGGCAGAGAGACGGGGATGGAATCACAGAATCATGGAATGGTTTGGGATGGACGGGGGCCTTAAATCCCATCCCATTCCACCCCTGCCCTGGGGGTGCTTCCCTTCAAATTTCTTATCTATGGAGATAAGGAATTCACAGATTCATTGCTGCCTTTAGACACAAAATCAATCTCAACGAGCACCTCCACCTTCTGCTTTAAATTGTATTTAATTGTCCCCTGTGCACGGTGACGCCTCTGGGGTGTCCTCAGCTGCTCCATTTCCAGCACCCACTTCTGGTTTTGGGGCTGGTTTTGTGTTTTGAGCTGCTCTGTGCTGGAACAAAAGAATCTTTTTGTCTGAAAAGCGAGGTCACACCTTTGGGTGAGGATCCAGAATTGTGTGGAAAAGGTGGAGGGATGAGATTGTCCTGCTCTGTTCTGTCCTTGGGAGACTCCGCCTGGGAAATTCCAGCTCTGGAATTCTCAGCACAAGGAAGCTGTGGATTTGCTGGAGTGATCCAGAGGAGTCCATGGAGCTGCTCCAGGGCTGGAGCTGCTCTAGAGCCAGGCTGGGAGAGCTGGGAATGCTCACCTGGAGAGGAGAAGGATCCAGGGAGAGCTCAGAGCCCCTTGCAGGGCCTGAAGGGGCTCCAGGAGAGCTGGAGAGGGACTGGGGACAAGGGATGGAGGGACAGGACCCAGGGAATGGCTCCCAGTGCCAGAGGGCAGGGATGGATGGGAGATTGGGAATTGGGAATTGCTGGCTGGGCTGGAATTGCCAGAGCAGCTGTGGCTGCCCCTGGATCCCTGGCAGTGCCCAAGGCCAGGCTGGACATTGGGGCTGGACATTGGGACAGTGGGAGCTGTCCCTGCACATCCAGGGGTGGGATGGGTGGGATTTAAGACCCAATCCAAACCATTCCATGATTCCATCAAATGCAGAACAGCCAAATTCCCACATTCTGATCCCACAAAGTCCAGCTGAATTAAGCACACTCAGAACTGCACCGACAATAAACCTGGGACATCTTTGTGCCTCTCAGATATTCCGGGCTCTCCATCCCATCCCTCCAGCTTCCAATTAAAACCGGTGGACAGGACAGGACTGAAACACCTTCAGCTTCAGGCTCTGATTTTCATTACTTTGGATTTATCCTGGATTCCTCCGGATTTACAGTTTCTCTCATTTCTCCAGAGTTACACCGGGTGAAGTTCAACCGAAGAACTTCTGAGAGGTGAAGTTTTATTAAATGAGCAAAGTTTTGTTTTAGAGTCGCCCCCACCTCAGTCCCTGTCCCTAATGAACTCCTGCATTAATCACTTCTCACATCTAATCCTGCCCTTGATGCTTGTGATCAAATTCCTCACGGAAAAGTGGGAATCTTTGTTATTTTCCAGGCTTGTTTACTTGGGAAATGACTCCAGAAAAGGCAATTTTCTCCTCAAATAACCATGGCATGGGTAAGGTGGGAATAATTCCTTCTTTGGGCAAAATCCCCCTGGGATCACCCATCCTGGGCTCAGGAAATGAGAGTTTGGTGTTCCCCAAGTGCTGGAACATCAATTCTTTTGAAAATGAGGCTCAGCATGAACTGAGACTGTGCTGGCTCCAACAGAAAAGTTATTCCAAGGAAAAACGGGAGTGGGACCAATTCCCACACTCAGTGGATGAAGGTGGATGAGGGTCAGGAGCTGCTCCCAACTCCCAAGCACACCTCCCATGGAAAGGCTTCTCCTGCCATGAAACCAGAGCTGCTCATGAGGGACAAACCTCACTTCAGGATATTTCTTTTCCCTGGAAAAATTAATGTGAGTGTAAATTAAGGCCTTCCAAATCATTTTCCCGGATGTCTTTGGAGCAGACCATAATTCCAGCTGCTTCCAAGGGTTGAGGACAGCAGTGGGAAACCACAGGTCTGTTGTCCAATCAGTAATTCCAAAAAAAAGATGGAGGCAACTCCTTGGAATAAAGCCCTGAGGGCAGGAATGATGGGGAATATGGAAGCGCAAATGGAATTCCTCGTTGATCCCGGCCACGCTCAGCATTTTGTGTTCATTTTCTCCCTGATTTCAGGGCCTCAGACACAAATTATTAAGGCCTAACCCACCCGAATCTAACCTGAACTCTCCAAATGTCCCAACACTTCCTGTGGAATCGTTTTCCAAAGCACATTCCGCTGAAATTCCCGGTTGGTCAGAAGTCCAAGCTCAGAAGTTTTTTGGTGGGAGGTTCAGAAACCGTTTCAGACACATCCTGTGCTTATCCCGGACATGGAGCCTTTAGGAGAGGTAAAATCTGGGATTCCCGTCCTCCCCCCAGCATTCCCAAGTGCATTTCCTGGGATTGACCCCTGGTGTTACAGCCACGACCAGAGGGAGAGACACAAGTGGCTGATCCAAAAGGGACGAGACCAAAAACCCAAATAAATTCACAGGAAATTCCACAAAATGGAAACGGCTTTTCCAGGGATTCTGCCTAAAGGCTTTGAGATCTTCCCACAAGAGGATTTCAGCACAATCCCTTGGATATTTCCATTTGGAACAATTAAATCGGAAAGGAAACATTTTGGTTGGAATCGATGAAGAAATCGATGTTTAGGTCGATGTAAGAAAAGGTCAAATCAATCCCTGAAATCAATGCCAGAGTAGAAAAAGGTTGGGTTTTTCCCACGAAATATTTTGTGGAATAAAAATTCTTATGTTTCAACAGCACAGGGAAAACAAGGAACTGTTGGAGGGATTCCAGAGGTCACGGAGATGCTCCATGGAGCCCCTCTGCTCTGGAGCCAGGCTGGGAGAGCTGGGAATGCTCACCTGGAGAAGGGAAGGATCCAGGGAGAGCTCAAAGCCCCTTGCAGGGCCTAAAGGGGCTCCAAGAGAGCTGGAGAGGGACTGGGGACAAGGGATGGAGGGACAGGACACAGGGAATGGCTTTTAGCTGGAAACGGGGAGATTTACGTTGGATATTTGGAAGGAATTCCTGGCTGGAGTGACCAGGACAAGGGGGAATGGCTTTAAGCTGGAAAAGGGTAGATCGAGATGGGATATTGGGAAGGAATTCTTGGCTGGGAGGGTGAGGAGGGGCTGGGCTGGAATTGCCAGATTTGCTGTGGCTGCCCCTGGATCCCTGGCAGTGCCCAAGGCCAGGTTGGATGGGGCTTGGATCAACCTGGGACGGTGGGAGCTGTCCCTACCTGCCAGGGGCTGGAATGCGATGGACTTCAAGGTCCTTCCCACCCAAACCATTCCAGGATTCCCGAAATACCAGAGCTGAGTGTGGCCAGGGCAGGAAGTGCTGCTGGAGCTCACCAGTTTTGTTGGAGAGGCGGAAGGACACCATTTTATCCGGGATGCTGCAGACATTCCGCACCGAGGCGATGCAGCTGTAGTTGGCGTAGTCCTGAGGTCGCAGGTTCTTCAGCTTCAGGATCTTTGTTTCTCCCTGGAAAAGGAGGAGAGGACATTAGGAAGGGAGGGAGGGAAAAACGGATACGGATCTGGGAATTCCATCCTCCTCCAACATTCCCGAGCGCGTCTCTTGGGATTGACCGCTGGTGCTGCATCCACAAGACACAACCAATGATCCAGAAGGGATGAGCCCAAAAAAAACCAAAAAAAGACCAAATTCACAAGAAATTCCACGAAATGGAAACAACTTTTCCAGGGATTCTACCTAAAGGCTTAGAGATCCTCCTCCAAAGGATTTCCAAAGGACACAGGGAATATCAATACTGGAAAGCCAGAGGGAAATTGGTTTGATGGAGTCCTTCGAGTCGCAAATTTTTCAGGATGATTTATTTTAAGGTACAATTTCCATGGAGAAAAAATCCCAAGGTACAAAATTCCTCCTGTTTTCCTCCAAAAATGAGGAGCTGCTGGATTCTATTTTTAGCCAGGGAGCTGAACAGGACATGGAATGTCGAATTCCTTCAAACACAGACAGCAGAAAACCGGGAAATGGGAAATGTGAGATTTCCCCCCCAAAGTTCCAAAAGAAAAACGTGGAAAATGTTCATTATCCGGTGTCCCGATAAATCCGAACAACTTTAATACTGGCACAGCCTGAGGAACACATGGATTTGATTTTTAACAATTCCACATGGATAAACTGACCAGGAATATCTAGGAAAAATATGGAAGTTTGAGAAAATAAAAGTACAAAACCGGGAAAAAAATAAATCCATACAAAAAAAATAAATAAAAATACAGCTGAGCAGGGAAGAAAAGGAACAGTCCTTGGAATCTTGGAGAGACTTTGGGAATATTTGGATTTAAGTGGTTTCTATGTACAACCAATCCCATGGAAATGATGGGATTAAAACGAAGCCCATTGCAAGACCAAGCCTTGGAAAAGTTGCTCCTAAAAATCAAATTCCTGCTTTAGGAGGTTTCTCTGGAATAGGGAAGAACCTGGGAAAGGCACAGCCTTAGGAACACATGGATGTGAATAAACTGCCCAGGAATGTCTAGAAAAAACATGGAAGTTTGAGAAAATTAATGTACAGAACTGGGGGGGAAAAAAAAAATCCATCAAAAAAGAAGATCCAGCTGAGCAGGAAAGAAAAGAAACAGTCCTTGAAATTTTGGAGAGATTTTGGGGATAATGGGATTCAAACGGTTTCTATGGACAACCAATCCCATGGAAATTATGGGATTAAAATTAAGCCTTGGAGAGGCTGCTCCTAAGGATCAAATTCCTGCTTTAGGAGGTTCTTCTGGAAGAGGGAAGGGCCCGATCCAGGCTGCCAAAGGCACTGAGTTCTGGAAGCATGGGGCAGCTTCATCCCAGCAATTCCCTCCTTTGCTCCAGGTTGAACTTGGGCTGAACTCCCAATGGAATTCTGGATCCCATCCCCAGCTCGCTGAGATTTATAAAAATGTATGTATTTTCCCCATTGGTTGGGATAATTAGTCTAATTATGTCTAATTGCATAATTATCGTAAATACAGCAAATTTAATCTCGTGCTCAGGCTGAGCAATTCCAATGAGTGACGAGGAGGATGCGAACTCTCAGGAAAAAAAACCTCCATCAAGATTTGGGAATTTTATTTTCCCAACATTTTTGAGGATGAGGATGGGCAGGTTTGCTCCATTTCTCCCCCCATGGATGCTGGAATAAATGGCTGGCGTTTGCTGATTGACTGGAAAAATCTGGTCATATTTAAGGAATTTGTTTGGATTTTCCCAGTTTTCCAAGTGTCTCCTGTGATTTAATTGCTGGCTGGATTTTGGGATCATCCCAGAGGATGGGTAAAAAGGGGAAAGGGAGGAATTCTGCTTCTGCCCCTCTGTCCTGCTCAGGTGAGGCCCCACCTGCAGAACTGCTCCAGCTCCGGGGACAGAGCAGGACCTGGAGCTGCTGGAGTGAATCCAGAGGAATCAATGGAGCTGCCCCAAGAGCTGGAGCTGCTCTGGAGCCAGGCTGGGAGAGCTGGGAATGTTCACCTGGAGAGGAGAAGGATCCAGGGAGAGCTCAGAGCCCCTTGCAGGGCCTGAAGGGGCTCCAGGAGAGCTGGAGAGGGACTGGGGACAAGGGATGGAGGGACAGGAGCCAGGGAATGGCTCCCAGTGCCAGAGGGCAGGGATGGATGGGAGATTGGGAATTGGGAATTGCTGGCTGGGCTGGAATTGCCAGAGCAGCTGTGGCTGCCCCTGGATCCCTGGCAGTGCCCAAGGCCAGGCTGGACATTGGGGCTGGACATTGGGACAGTGGGAGGTGTCCTTGGGTTGGAAAGGGATGGGATTTAAGGTCCCTTCCCACCCAAAGCATTCCAGGATTTTGTGATTATCAGAATAACAAAACCATCAGAAATAACAATCAACCTCTCTTTTGGGTAAAAAAACCCGGGAAGTTTTGTTTCCCTTTCCATTCCATTTCACTTCCAGATTAAAATCCACCTTCAGAGCCCTCAGCGAAAAAGTTCCCTCTTAAAATTCTCAAGTCCTGATTCTCTGAAGCCAAATTCCCTCTGTCCCTCTTCCCATCAGCTCTCCCTATTTGCATCCCTACCATGAAATGAACTAATTAAGCAGAAGATGTTGATGACTCTTGAACCTTTAATTACATCTTCTCCTCCTCTCATAAACACAGAGCAGATCTTGCCTGCACAGATCCCAGCCACACTAATTCCAGCTGCCCTCCAATAACTGCAGAAAGGTTATGGATAAGATTGGAATATCACCAGGACAATCTGATTTATTCATTAATTAAACCCACACCGAGATTTTAGGACGGGTGATCTTAATAGCCTAAAAAAAAAAAAAAAAGAAAAAAAAATCTAATTTCGTGTGACACATCTTAGTAGATGAATCCTTAGATTTTTAGGGAAGGCAATCCTCAGCATTTCCATAGTGAAATATGAAATAAAAAAATCCACTTTCCCTTTTTAATTAAAACATTTCAAAACTTCAGTTTACACTGGAGCCCAAGCAAAGCCCCAGATTTGCTAAACTGGGTCTGTTCATGTTAAATTAAAAATAATCTCATTACATTTAGGACACCAATAACATGGCTCTGTGATTCAATTCCCATCTCTGCAAGGTTCCGGGCTCCACATTTCTCCGGAAAACACGGAGCTGTTGGAGCAATATAAAGCTGTCAAGTACAATAAAAAGCCACAAATGAAGGTGCTCTCAAATCATTAAGTGAAAATTATTTATGAAAGTCGCAGTTGCTTTCTGCTCTGAACACCAAATTACCAGGCAGTTTTCACCTCTGGCTTCCCTTGTTATTCCTTGGGATTTTCCAAACCAATTTTTCCCCCTTTTTTTTCCCCTTTCTTTGTTTTTTTTTTTTTTTTTTTCCTTCAAACACCATCCCACACTTTTGGCCACAGACAATGGGATTTCCCACCTTTTTTATCCTTCCTCAGTGTAAATGTGTACGCGATAAATTAATCTCAGTTTATCTGACAGAGCCAGGATTCCTTGGGTGCTGGGAATGGGAGCAGGAAGACTTTGGAAAAGGTTTTATTTCCTTTTCTGCCGCCGCACTTTTAAGTGGGGGAATTGTGAAATGAAACCTTGTATTTAAAGATAAAAGAGGCAGGAAAAAAAGAGTATAAAAACCAACATGGGGGAGGGTCATGGAATCATGGAATCATGGAATCGTGGAATTTTTCAAGGTTGGAAAAGCCCTCCAAGATCATCAACTCCAACCATCAACCACCACCAGGTTCTCCATTAATCCATGTCCTCAAGTGCCACATCCGCATGATTTTTGAACACTTCCAGGGATGGAGACTCCGCCCCTCTTCTGGACAGCCCGTACCTCTTCCATAAAGAGATTTTTTCCTAAAATTTAATCTAAATTTTAGATTATCTAAATCTAAAATTTAGATTATCTAAATCTAAAATTTAATCTAAAATTTAATCTACGTGAAGAGACTTTAAGGCTGTAATTTAGGCTGAGTGCGGATTCGCTGAGTTGGATCGGGAAGGATGAGGAAATAGGAATTGAATCAGAAGTCTGGGCTTGCAGGACCCAATAAAAATCACTACAAAAGGCCTCCTGTAGATATCGCTCCCTCATAATTTAACAATTCATATTTTTACAAATATTTAAATATATTTTACATCAGGAAGTCTATTAACAACATCCAGGAGCGTTTGGGTGGGGCACCACAATCTGGAGGCCATCCCCAATCCCCACCCCACAAACCCAGCAGGAAGATCCCGTTACAAAGCCTCAAGACAGGGAAAAAATTCCCGGTTTTCAGGCCTACCTGGGTAAAGAAGGGCTCGTAGATCTCCACTCCCTTGTCGGAGCCCTGCAGCAGCACCTCCTGGCCGCGGCGCCAGCTGTAGCGCACGGGCGGGTTGGAGTTGGCCACGCACCTGAGGAACACGGTCTTCTCATAATAAAACTGCTCCTTGGCTTCCCCGATGCTCTGGTGGACCGTGACTATGGGATCATCCAAATCTGGGGGAAAAAAAAAAAGGTGGGAAAAAACAAGTTTAAGCCAGGCTTTAGCCGGCTTGACAACAGCGTGGCGCCGGGAATTTCCTGTGACGCCTCGTAACTAGTCAAGGGTAAGACAGAGACAAAACAGCTTGGAAAAACCCCAAATTTTAGGGATTTTGTAGGAAAAGTCAGGCTTAGGATTTATTTCCTTCTCCCCAACTGGATCTCCTTCAAAACTCACATTTTTAGGCAGAACAACACAGCCAATCTCATGCTAATGTCAATCATATTTCTATTATAGCGCGGTGATTACCGCGGTTTCGTCTGGTTCACAGCTTTACTCCTTGTTTCTTCTAACCCTTTTCCACAAAATTATAAAGCTTTGGCAATAAATAGACAGCCTGATTTGCATCCAAATGGCAGGATCCAGGAGTCCATGGATCATGTGCACGCAGCTGTTTGCTTTTAAAGCTGCAATTTAAGGCAGCAATTTAATGCAGATTCCCTGCTTTTAGTTACAGGCATTTAACTTCCAGCAGGTAAATTCATCCTGGGCTTTGGAACACATTTCTCTTGATTAAAATACAGATATCGGATAATTACTCCCACTGCAGCAGCTCCAAGAAAATGAGATGCCCACAACGAGGAATTGGCTTCCACAAGGAATAAAAATACAATAGCCCTTGGAATATGAGGATACCAAAGTAATTAATTTGGGCTTTATCCCACCAGGAAAAAGGAGATTCCTGGTCTGGGGATTTTTCCTGAGCTTTGCCTGGAGGGACGATTTTATTGAGGAAGGAAAGAAATGGGACAAGGGAAAAAACGGAAAGCAAAGGATGCTTTTCCTAAGTACTGGTTAAAAACACACAACTTCCAAATGATGACTCGCACAGCCAGCAATTCCCAATTCCCAATCTCCCATCCATCCCTGCCCTCTGGCACTGGGAGCCATTCCCTGGCTCCTGTCCCTCCATCCCTTGTCCCCAGTCCCTCTCCAGCTCTCCTGGAGCCTCTTTAGGTATCCTCAGCCCTCCCTGGATCCTTCCCTTCTCCAGGTGAACATTCCCAGCTCTCCCAGCCTGGCTCCAGAGCAGCTCCAGCCCTCGGAGCATCTCCCTGATCTCCTCTCCAACAATTCCATGTTTTTGTTGAGCTGATCCTGGACTCAGCATTCCAGCTGTGCCCTCCATGCACACACAAACACAACATTCCATGTGCAGCTCATCCATCCCTGGCTACAACCATTCCAGAACCTTCTCGGCACTGCTTGTTCCTTAAAAGTCCTTCAACCCCTTTGGATAGCGGTTAATTATTCCCTTGTCCCCAAATTTAACCCCATTTTTGCAAAGTCTGCTGTGAGTAATTATCAAAATTTCGGTTCATTTTTACTTGGAGCCAAATTTCAGTGAAATGGAGAACAAGGTTCTCAAATCTTCACATGACCAAAAGGAACCAGACAAAGGCACCCACAAATCCCTCTGCAAAGGTGGAGAATCCCGGAATTGTTGAGGTTGGAAAAGCCCCCTGAGATCACCAAATCCAACCATCAACCACCACCACGTTCACCACTAAACCACGGCCTCAAGAGCCACATCCACAACTTTTCCAGCTGTGCTGACTCCACCCCTTCCTTGAGCAGCCTCTTCCAAAGCTTGACAATCCATGGAATTCTTAAGGAAGAACTTTGTTAATAAAATAAATGGACTAGAATATATGAAAATTCCATCTTGAAAGCAACTTCCAGAAAAAAAGACCTAGCCTAAAGACTAAAAATTCATCTAAAGATTAAAAATTCCTCTTTAGCCACTCAATTTCTATTTGCATAAGAAGAGTGAAGCTGGAGAGTCTCTTGATTAATTAGAAACAAAACCTGTTCCAAAATTCCCAACAATTCCAGCAATGACACCTCGTAATGGGGCACGGAATTTAAATAAATGTTACCTTCGTCCTCCCCTCCAAAACATTTAATTTGAGATCACAGAAGCAAATTATGGATCTGCTGCTCCAAATTAGGATGGCATTTCCTAATGAGATTTCAGTTTTGTTCGAAAGGTTATTTGAAATCACGGCAGCGCTTGGAAAGGGCTGAGAGTGCTCAGAAATTCTGGCTTCTCCTCATGAAGTTGAAAGCAAAAAAGGAGAAAATTAACTCGCTGCAATTTTTAGGGTCAAACACCTCTTCCCTGAGTTTTGAGGGAGAACAGAATGTTTCCTGCATTGATTCCCAGGTTATCCCTATTAAAGCACATCCCTGGTGGCAAACAAGGAGCCATGAGCTCCATCACCGAGTCCAGGGATGCTCTTCCAATCTCTGACCCTCGGATGAAGGCGAATCCTTGGATAAAAGACCCGAGAGGTCCAAATCTGGGCTCAGCCTCATTTTCATGAAGTTACTCAAGGCACAGGGAATCCCTCAAAACCTGGAATCAGGACTCGAACCACCTCCATCCTTGGCTGCAAGAGCAGGAGAGCTGTTTCCAGGGAAAAATTCCCTCCCATCCAACCCATCCCTGTGAGACAAATTCCTGAGCACCCTGTGCAGCTGCAGAGGTGGATAGACTGGAACAATGCAGGGAAGGCCACCAAGGTGACTGGAGGCCATCCAGATCCTGAGGGAGCTGGGTTTGGCCAACCTGGAGATGGTTGGATGAAGGGAAAATCCAATTTCTGTCTTCAAATGCCAGCCAGGGACTCCTGGAGAAGACAAAGGAGAAGCAGGGATGAAGAGCAGATGGAGTTTCTGTCTTCAATTTGCCACCAGGAAGTTCTAGAGAAGATGAAAAACTCTTCTTGGAGGTGCAGAGGAAAGGACCACGAGGTGTGAGCTGCACCAAGAGCAATTTCTCTGGGATATAAGGAAAACAAATTCCCTGTGGAATCAGACAAGTGTCCAGAGGGGCCATGGGATAGCTGAAGACATCCAGAGCTTGGCTGGCCACAGCCCTGAGGAATCTGGCCATGAAGGTGGTGCTGGTTTGAGCAGGGGGTTGGACAAGAGACCATTTTACATAAATGATTCCAAGTTACTCCATGATTACAGGAGCTGTGATGTCATCACCTGCTTGTCCAATCTGCTCTCTTGGAACAGGTCTATGCTGGATCATGGAAACATGGAATGGTTTGGGATGGAAGGGATCTTAAATCCCACCCATTCCCAGCCCTGCCATGGCAGGGACACCTCCCACTGTCCCAGGCTGCTCCAGCCCCAATGTCCAGCCTGGCCTTGGGCACTGCCAGGGATCCAGGGGCAGCCACAGCTGCTCTGGCAATTCCAGCCCAGCCGGAAATTCCCAATTCCCAATCTCCCATCCATCCCTGCCCTCTGGCACTGGGAGCCATTCCCTGTGTCCTGTCCCTCCATCCCTTGTCCCCAGTCCCTCTCCAGCTAATCCCTTCCAAGCAAGCACTGAACTATGGCAAGGGACAGATTTTGATAGGAATATCGGGAAGGCTCCAAGAAATCCAAGCTGGGAATGGAACTGCAGCGAAGCCTTTGCCAAAGCATTTCGTAATGGTCAATTAATGGAAAATTCCCACTGCAGAACCCGATGGATTTTTTTTTTTTCCAGCGGCAGTGCTGGAAAGATCCCGACAGCTGCAGCAAAGCAAAAGCAGAAGCGCTACCAGGCGAGCAAAGAATGCTCCCAGGTTTTTGGGAGATCTCCCTGAACATTCCCGGTGTTGGGAAGGGCTGCACAAATGTGTGACTGGGTGGTTACATAAGGCTGGACTTTGCTCGGGCCATGCAAGAGCTGGAAAATAGAAAAAGCAGGAAAAATACGGTGTTTGGAAAAGGAACTCTGCAGGGATATTGCAGGGAAACGCCAAAATTCCCTGCCTCTATCCAGGTTGTTTAAATCCACCTGATCCTGGTGCTCATGGAAGTTCTCCAGAATTCCGGCTTCAATTCTGGTTGAGTCAGCGCTAATGGATATTCAAGTTTCTAAGCAGATTTAAACCCCGCCCCTGCTTAAAGCTCTGTGCGTGTGGGTGGTTGTTCTTCCCCTGCAGCACGGGAATATCCAGGGGCTTGGAAGGCTGAGAGGGAAGGGAAAGCCTTGGAATGGTCACCCAGGGAAACCCCTGGATCCCTGGAAGTGCCCAAGGCCAGGTTGGGCGAGGCTTGGAGCAGCCTGGGATGGTGGAAGGTGTTCCTGCCCATGGCAGGGGTGGAATGGGATGGGGCCCCTTCTATCCCAAACCATTCCAGACTCCATAATTTCAAATAACACACAAAAATAAACCTATAAAGATTTAACACTGGGAAGCTCAACAAGACAAATCTCACTGTTTTACAAGAAAGGGAAAAAAAATATCCCAAAATTTCCATTTTGGGTTGGTGAAATTATGAGGAGTCAACAGCTTAATCACTCTTTAAATCAAACTGAAGTCAAGGGTGCTGCTACGTGGTTAAAGTCTCTTAATCAACCTGAAAATAATTACGGAAAGATGTTTCCCACAGAGGTTTGTGCCACCATCAGGTTCAATTTCTCAGTCTTTAATCTCGGAATTGAACCAAACACTCCCCAAAACCCAGGTGGGCCAGGCATGGTAAACACCGGATTGGAAGAATTCCCCTCACACATCCCTAAGCTCTCGAACAAATGGAAAACTCAGCCTAAGCTGATCAAAATGGGTCTAATCCCAGTTCCCTGGGAATTGCATCCTCATGGTGGAATGGAGGTGCACAGAGTGTGGCAGACACTGTTAAAATCCTCCCTGTGCAGAATTCCAAAGGCATTGAGCTGCCTGGGATCATATCCCCACAGCTCCGACCTGAGCTCCGGGAGAGTCACACAAACACGAACAGCTCGGCAGGATCCAGGCTGGATTTGCTGGATCATCTCCTCCCAGCTGCTGGGCCTGCACATTTGCTGATTTCATTTGTTAATTAGCTGCCTTTGTCTTCAGATGTTCGGAGCAGGAGGGATAAGAATAAAACACATCTGGGAAAGGGATGGGAACGGCTTCATCCCGGCGGGCAGAGCGGAGACAGCGGTGACGCATTGCTGAGC